AAGAAAACTACGATACCGTATTTTCATTAAAATATTACATCACAAGTATATTTTACCTTAACTGTGACTGAATGAATATAGGTATTCTCAGAAATAAATATGGAAATATAATATTTTTGCTGGAATGACGTACATATTACAGTGGAAAGTGGGATAAAATCATGACGAAAACAATGACTTTCGCTTTCTTTCGTTATTCAAAAGATTTTACCGTAATCTCTTTTCGAATGATTTTCAGTTAAAAAACTGTTGTATTACAATAATATTCTATCCTAATTCACTTGTGATGCAACAGTTTTTTAACTGAAAACCATTCGAAAAGAAAATCTTTTGAACGAAAGAAAGCGAAAGTCATTGTACGTCGTATTTTCAGCAAAATATTACATTTCCATATTCTCAGAAATAAATAGTAGTTTTGCTGAAACGTAATGCATTTCAATGTAAATTAGGATAAACTACATGAAAACAAAAGACTTTACCTAACCTTCCGATGTTCAAGATATGTTACTCGTTTTTTTAGTAGTTTTCGGTTAAAATACTGTTATATTAGTGATATTCTATTCATAGTGCTTGATATAATACATTCACGGAAATGTAATATTTTTGCAACTACAATGCTGATGTCAACACAAGCGTGGTTACAGCGAGACTGACTGAGTGAGGGAGAGCTATGCGTGTGTGTGTGAGGTTGCGGGAGCGGGCGGTGTCCCGTGTTCGGTGCCGCGCGCGATTTGAATGTACTTCAATTACTTCAATGTACAGAATATTCCTCCGGCGGGGCAATCGGTGTATGCTAAACCCGCGTATGTTAAGGGCCGACTGTACTCAATAGATAGAACTATTTTTTCTGGGATCATTTTTTTATATTACACTTCCGTTGCAAATTGATAATAAGGAAGTTATTGAATTTTAAAAAGAGTAAAATCAGAGCACGTGAGGCTCCTACGCTGTTGCTCAAATTGTGTGTGTTCGTACGTTCGCTTACCTACCGCACACGTGTGGTAGGGAGGGTATTGAGTCGTGCATGCATAGAGGGGGAGGGAGGGAGGGGGCAGCCAATCAAATCCAATAAAAAATCACAACATCTGATTCCACCAATTAGTGTTCAATATTCTGCGTGGGTGGTAGGATGAGGGGTAAATTTTTACTTCAGGACATGAGTCCCTCGGGGTCGACTAATATGTTTTTCCGGTGTATTTTGGTGTGTTTTAAGTGAATATGACCTTCATTTTGGGCAGAAATTGCTCGTTTTTGCCCCCCCAACAATAATGGGGGGAGAGCCTGGGAAATCGGTTTTTTTGGGGTGAGGGAGAAAACGAAAACGAGTCATCTAACCTAACCCCTAGCCAGACCCCAGGTAGGCCTAGCTGAAACTAACCTAAACGTTTCAGTAGTTTAAAACTTTGGGGTGCGCCATGTCCGAAGTACAATACCTTAGTTAAAAGTGGATAGAATGATCATCTTTCTCGTAAAACTCAGCAATAAACTTAAAATAATTGTAGGAGCACGATTGACAACCAACCTCCACCACTGCCATTGTCAGACTGGTCAATGAAATTACCCAGACTGCCTCCTTTGAAAAAAAAAATCAAATGCGATTGGTTGAAAAAAATTTGCGTGATGATATCGATATATCATTGATCACGACTGGATGACGTCAGTCAATAATACGCATAAGTGATGCACCGTTAACATCTCCTCACAGAGATAAAGACTGAAAAAGTACATAAAATCAATTACAGGGTAAATTCAATTGAGTCGCTATTATCCATTTCCACCTGGTATAAATGGGGCTTCAAAATGCTCAGAACAGGGAGATCTAAATGTTTCAGTAGTTTATAACTTTCGGGCGCACTATGACCTAAAGTAAAATAATACCAGATGCGGGACATTTTTAATCAGTTGCAACATGGAGCCATAACTTGCTGGGTGCGATTTCTATTATTGGAAGTTTATTGTATTATTTCATTCTAAAAATAAGGAAACTTTAGGGAACAGGGAACCCACAACGCATTCTGGTCCCTGACTCAGACTCTGACTCGGAGTAAGGTAAGAAATACTCTTAACAGCTATTTATATTCTCGTGGAGGCTGACCACGTGGCTCTGGGGTTATTACATATCGTTTGGGGTCGGCTAGGGTCACCGGGGGCGGAGCACAGAGAACCGGGAATTCAAAACACGCAATCAATAGAACTTTTATGGGGGACTAAATTAAAAACGAGTAATTTCCGATAAAAATGAATCAATCATATCAAAAGCCATCAAAAAAGCACTTTTTGTATCAGATTATTTGGTTGCTGTAATCAGCAATTTTACCATCTGGCCGCCATTTTTTGCAAATGAGCAGTTTCTGTTAAAAATAAACAGTTAATTTTTTGCAAAAAAAATGCTAATTTGCACAAGAAATACATACATAAGAACATAAGAAAATAAGGAGTCTGCAATAGGCCGGTTGGCCTGTGCATGGCAGCTCCTGTCGAGAGTTACTACCACTCTCTATCATCCATGAATCTATCTAGCCTCCTTTTAAAACTTTCCAGCGTTCCAGCACTTACTGCAAAGTTGCTAAGCTTGATCCAATCGTCTACCACCCTATTTGTGAGCCGGTTTCTTCCTGTTTACCACCCTTAATATTGGAAGAACAAATACTGTCAATGTATACAGCCTTAACAACAGCAACCTTGAGAAGTTGACTTGTGAAAGAGGCTTAGGGGTACTTGTAAACCCGGACCTACGGCCTAGAAAACAGGGCGTTAATGTTCGAAATAAGGCAAACAGAGTATTGGGTTTTATATCTAGAAGTGTAAGTAATAAGAGTGCAGAGGTCTTATTGCAACTATATCTTGCGCTAGTCAGGCCGCACCTCGATTATGTGGTTCAGTTCTGGTGCCCCTATTATAGAATGGATATCAATTCACTAGAGTCGGTGCAGCGAAGAATGACGAAATGATTCCGGGACTTAGAAACCTTCCATATCAGGATAGGCTAAAGAAACTTAACTTGCATTCCCTAGAAAGACGAAGAGTGCGGGGAGATATGATAGAAGTATTTAAGTGGGTGAAAGGAATCAATAAAGGGGATATAGATAAAGTTCTTATAATATCCGAGCAGGATAGGACTCGGAGCAACGGATTCAAGTTGGATAAGTTTAGGTTTAGGAGGGAGATAGGAAGAAACTGGTTCACAAATAGGGTGGTGGACGAGTGGAACAAGCTTAGCAACTTTGTAGTAAGTGCGGGAACGCTGGAAAGTTTCAAAAGGAGGCTGGATAGATTCATGGATTGAGTGGTAGTAACTCTCGACAGGAGCTGCCATGCACAGGCCAACCGGCCTATTGCAGACTCCTTATTTTCTTTTGTACTTATGTTTATCAATTCATTTCACCCACTTACCGTATTTTGCGGCGTAGAAGACGCTGCACCGTGGAAGACTCACCCTGATATGGGAAATGTAATTCTAGGAAATTTTTTTTATACTTACTAACTTTGTTCTTGTCCTCAAGCTTAAGCCAATTCGTTTCATGAAGCGAAAACACCAACAAGCAGTTCCTTTGAAGTCATCCACCCCGATGGTGGCTGCAAACCTTCTTGCTTCCAAAATGATCAACTTCGTAGTCACTGCCAAACCCAAGTTTCTTTGGTCTAATATCCATGTTTTCAAGTTTTCTTCTAAGTCTGGCCATTTTGCTGGTACTGTACGAAGATTATGCTTCTGTTTATTCACTTTTTTTAATTCTTCCTCCTGCTTCCTCCACTCGCGAATCATCTTCTCAGTAGGTGGTGGTCCGAAGTTTCTCTCAGTTGCCCTGTTTCCATGTTGTTTGGCATATCGCACTACTTCAAGTTTAAATGCGATAGTATATTTATGTCTCGTTGATACACCAGCCATAGATGAGGGAGATAATTTGCAGGAATGAAAATGGCTTGTGACACAAGTGAAGGCCTGGTAGTGAATGAACAAAGTTCTAGACACTTAAGTGTGAAGAAACAAAAATTCCTGCACTCTGAGACCAGCAAACAACCTTTAGCAATTCACACTGCCATTAGTAAACAAACCGCAGAGCAGCAAGGGTTGTGTAGCTGCAGCCGTTTATTCTTTATATTTTACCTACTGAGAAAGTCAATAATCGTATTTTTCACAGTATATCAACAAAATTAGTTAAATCAATTGTTTTATAGGATAGAGAATACTTGTAATTGCTAAGTAACGGTCTTTGTAAGGGGCTGATTTCAGTTGACCTAAGAAAACCTTTGGTAATTCTCAAGGTATGTTTTTGCGTCTTCAATGCCACAAAATACTTCCATCAAATATCATTTCTCCCTGCACTCTTTCGTCTTTCTAGGGTCAGATTTGAGCACACCACCAAAAAATATACCTATTCTTATACCAAAATCTAAGAGTCAACCAATGAACTCTATACTGTACTGTACAACCTGGCAGCCGGGTTGTCTCTAGGGGCCACTTTACCCTGTTCATCGGTGATCCTGTCTTGTAGGAATGTTTCTTGATCAACTATCACGTATATATACAGCCTAGGAATCAACTGGGAAGCTTGACAACCCTGGAGTGGATTATAACCTTTGACTGTTGTTAACTAAGTGAGTGTGAGCAGACAAACACAACGCGACAACCTTCAAGGCCTCCTCAATATAAACAACTATTATATCTTATACAACACACATTCACATAATTATTAATGTAAAATAATTAATAAATAAATAATAAATGTACATAGATATCGCTAAGCATATTGTTATAAGTATTGCGTTAAAAAAAATATAGTAATGATCACTGGAAATAAAATGTGTAGCCAAAAAACTATATTAATAAGCATATAAATTATTTGTTTAATATAAATTATTCACTTGAGAAACATAGTGATAATTTGCCTAAAGTACATTAGAAATAGGTATTATTGTAGTGTGTGTGGGAGGTTGGGAGCCCGTGTCCAGCTGAGACCCTGACAAGAACCACCAGGATGTGAGCTAAAATCTTTGTATTTTACTTAACAGCCTAAATTAACGCCGCAACTCCCGTACTAGAACGATATATTGTGTTTAGTATGAATTAACAGGCAAAGAGTTTCAAGAGTAAATTGCCGGTTTGTAATTCGGTGTCAATAGGGTATAAATACTGTATAGTCTCGTTATGGACCACTAGATGACCCACCAGGGGCGGATCCAGGAATAAAAGAAGGGGTCCAAGAAGGTGTGGGTGAGGGACATGGCGAGCACAGCTGGGGGGTTTGGGGGAGCTGTGACCCTCCCGATTTTTTTTTAAATCTGACCAATATCATGGGCACTTTGAAGCCATATGCACGTAGAGGTATTCTGAGGTCAATAATAGGGTAAATTTGCATTAGTTCACACAACTGTTAAACAGTCAAAACTGAGTTTTTCTAGTGTATTTTTGTGTTTTGATTAGTTTTTACCTTGATTTCCGTCGGATATTGCCTGTTTTTTAGTTATTGGGGTTTTGGGTGGGGCGTTTACCAACAAAAAATATGACCAAGCGAATACAAAATACACAAAACACAAGAAAAACAGACATATAAACCTAACCTAACCTAACTTAAAATTACTTAACCTGACATAACCTAACTCTCACCATATGATGGAATCACTTATTTCTTACCTTATTGGCCTGGGTCTGGTTCGTCGTTGGATTCCGAGATTAGTACAGGTCGCTGACGCCGATTCTCGTATAGGAAACACGTTACCACAATGCCACATATGTTGGTCTTGACGATATTTACATTCGTTCTTACACTTAGAACACTTTACTGAGGTCGGGAGAACACATTGGGATATAAAAAAAGGATATAGCTTGTTCGGTTTTTTCCCCAAAACGCGCAATCCACTGAGATCCCTCGCCCGAGAATTGCTGTTCAACACTACAACCGCAACCAGCCCACACAAGCACGAACTGATCGCTATAAGAACAGCCCAGTCCCAACCATTGTAAAAATTATCAATAAATTGTAATCAACCAGTGTATTCACTCCCAGTAAATACTACTTTTTGTACTGCCACTATGTTGAAATGTCCTGTAGTTTGACCTTCTCCCCACATAGTTATTATATATCATATTTGTATCACTAATGTAACTTGTATATTATTTGTAAATCAAGAGACCCATTCCCCAATTATGTAACTGTATATTTTCAGCCTTCTGGCTGCCATGCTCTTTCAATAAACCGTTGATTATTATTATTACTATTATTATTATTATTATTATTATTACTGTATTATTATTATTATATAATTGAAGTGACACCCATCGCAGACTTCCATGGTTGGAAATGAATTTGAATTTCAAAATATGAGACCAAAATAAAATACTGCGAATTAAACCACAGATCATTTTAATTGGAGGGGAAAAAAAAAGCTTTTGATTGGCCGCGTGACGTGTACGGGAACGAATGCGCTTGACGATTTATGAAGGGAACACGCAGAGGGGAGGACGGGTAGGCGATAATGGCAGAAGATTAATGGAAGAAAATAGAGAAATATTTGGCATGCACTGTCTCCATTATGATACGTTTGCGACGGTAATGTAATAGAAGAAAATTACCTTAGAATTTGACGTCTTTTTTCGAATATGATAATAGATTTGGGGTAGGAAAGTTGTGTGCACTAATGGAAAAATACCAATAATAATTCATTTTAGTCAATTTAGGATAGTAGCCAGGTTTTGGTTAGGTTAGCACCAGAATCAAAGGTAAATACTTTCAAATCACAACAAGAACCATAGGAAAAACATTTTTTTTATGGAAAAATGGAAACCTGGCTACTATCATAAATTGACCTTACTTTTTACTGTACAAAAATGCCTGAGTACAATACTGCATTAAAGAAAAGGTATTGGAATTTTCTCATGAAAAGGGGGTGACCTGGATTCGCCCTTGCTATATTATCTGGTATTTTAAGTTGGAATAAGTTAGGTTAGCGTTAGGTTAGGTTATGTTAGTATTAGTTTAAGCTAAATTAGGTAAATATTCGTCCATTGGCTGTCCTCGGGTTTTGATACAAAATAGTTTTTTGTGTATTATGGTTTGTGTTACTCAAATATGACCTAAATTTCTGGTGCAAATTATCAGTTTGGAAAAAAATAACTTTTTCATTTGTAAGAGAAACCACTAATTTGTACCAAAATGGCAGTCAGGCTTCAGCATAACACACCATAAAACACACACACAGACACACACACTAACTTAACCCAACCTAACAATTTTTTGGGGGGAGGTCACTTGTTACTGTGGTGGAGGATACAGCTGGGCGAGCTGGTACACTTATGGTTACAGACAAAAGAATTTGTCTTTTGTTAAAAGTAAACAATTTCCACACATAGGACACAGTCTTCATGTTGGTGAGTCACTGTGATCTTGTAATACTTGGATTGCTTCACTATTGTTCTGATAAACTCTCTGAATAACAGCTAGATAAGGGAGAGAGCACTTACCACACGCCATCACGAGCCTTCAAAATGATTGGCCAGCCAAGTCACATGACACGATACCTGAAGATCATTGGTTGTCACGTCCAAAAGAGGAGGATAGGGCGAGAAAAGTGACTCTGGCAACATGGCGGGTACAGAAATTTACACCTAGAAATTTGTGAGATACAGTACTCCATTAATACTGATTTGCACAAGAAAAGATAAGAATCGTATGTTTGGTTTTTATAGTCTTTGTGTCTGTAATATTGAGAATTGGAAACATGTGGACAGCCAATGGACAAATATTAACCCACTTTTCTTCTATGACATTTCCCTCACAAATGAGTAAAATACTGTACTTATACCAGAGTCTCCCCGCCAATTAGGTTTGGTCAGGTAATTTGAGGTCGTTTGCGAGGGAAACGTCATAGAAGAAAAGGGTTTGAAAATTGTCTAAACTACCGGGAAAAACATAATTTTCTCTTAATAACTCATACCGGGTGACTAATACAAATTTACTGGTTAGGGTAATATTCCATAGCTTTTGAGAATCGGACATACAGGTATATGCATAAAACATTATGTCTTTGAATGACCCCAAGAATCACCTCTTGAAGTGAGTACTGTACATATACTTTAAGTCCTGAGACACCCTGTGTACTGTACTCCCAGACAGGTCATCATATGCATTGTTAGTAGACACTGTACACTTAACACTACTGTATGTACTGTACACTTTATACATAAGAGTAACACTTCACAGGCACTCTTGATAATTGTATTGAACTGATAAACTTAAGACTCCACTTTTTACATAACACTTAACACTGTACAGGCACTTACCGTATATCTCGGCTTATAAGACGGAATTTGAACATTAAAAAAATCTGCCCAAAGTTAGGGGGTCGTCTAAACCACCAAGTATAAAATTCTTACCTCTTAAATATTGTGGTTTAGTGTGTCAAGAGTGGTGATGGAAACATCGTAAGCCACTCACAAGGTCTTACCACTAATTATTTTATACTGAAACTTACGTTTGGCAAGCTGGATTCAAATTAAGATTACCGGTATATTAAAATAATAAAAATGTATTATAAACCTGTCTAACATACCGTAAAAGAGAATTATACCCCTGTAATAAACACAGCTATCATCACACACCCCTCCCCACGCCCCCCCCATTTGCCAGTGAGGAGACAAGAAAGGGAAAGTGACCGCGAGATTGGGCTATTTTTAGCCGTGGAGGTGGTCAGTAATGCATATCGGTATATTTACTGATAATAATACTTATCTCCTATAAATAATTAATTTAAAATTTATTTTTTTACAAGGAATATTCAGTAAATGACTGCATTAATTCTTGAAACTACTGACAGTTAAATACAGACGCTTAAGTGACGTCACTAGTGTTTACACTACACCAGCTGGTAACATTTGATGCCATTACTTGAAGTGAATTGGCCTTATTTTAAAAAACCAAGGATGGTTGGTAAAGGACTACTGAGTCAGTGGGTAAGTGTCACATTTGGGGTACTGGTCTTATACAGCGAATAGAGCTCAAAAGCTACTTTTTAAATGGAAATTTGGGGGGGCCGTCTTATGCACCCCGACGCCTTATAGGCCGAGATATACAGTAATCATTGTCAGGAGGTCTACCGATGACAAGAGACACACGCAAGCTGATGCTCACTGGTCCTACATAGGCTGCCAAGTGTGGGCCGGCATGCTGAGTTCTAGTGTGTGACTCGACTCCTGCTGACCTATCATATGTCGAGTTATCGGGGGTTTAACTTGTAAACCTCGCTGCTGCCATGGAGGTGCTGAAACTAACCCATTCATGAAGATAATGTGAAATAACTTAACCTTCCTTTACCTAACCTATCCTCAACCTCTTCTACCTGCATATACAGTATATTTTTTGTTCTTTATTTCAGATACTCCCTCACTTGTTCTCTTCTGTGTGTTTGTAATGTATTGCTGCTCCTAAGACAAGTTTTTTTTTTTTAACAGGTCCACAAGGAGGAGGCCAAGACAGAAGGTGTATCAGTAGTAGGGCCTGACCCAATCACCACACAAGATGGCTCACTTCACACAAGATGACTATGTTGTGATGCAGATGGCATGGATCAGTGTACAGTACATTGAGAGATTCAGCACCATCTGTATGACCGAGCCAATGCAGAATGGTGCAGGGGATCATCTGCTCCTGGGATGAAAACCAGAACCACATTTGGCTGGATCCAATTGTCTTGATCCTTGCACTTATTAGCTAGTGGTTGATTATTTAACTTTTCCATAATAGTATTGAGCTCTAGGCTACATATATTAAGACTAGACCATACATACATACATGGAAGTTTGTTATATGTTGTAATCAGGTATTTTTAATTAATTTCTGACTGTTCTGGTATTTTATATATTTATTACTGGCACTTAGAGTGTAGTTGCTACATTAAGAAATAGAGTAACATCTACCATTGTTTTCTATGGTGTAGGTTCCCCATAATGAATGAATCAGTACAGAGTAAAGAGAGAAGGTTTGAATGTGATGAATGTGGTAAACTGTTCACAAGGAAGAGCCACCTTAAGACTCATTTCTTTATTCACACTGGCGAGAAGTTTGACTGTGAGGAATGTGGGAAACAATTTACAAGAAAGAACAACCTCAGTGCCCATAAAATCATCCACACCGGTGAGAAGTTTGAGTGTGATGAGTGCGGGAAGCAATTTGCTAGTGAGAGAAGCCACAACACCCATCGGCTCATCCACTCGGGTGACACATTTGAGTGCGGTGAATGTGGGAAGCATTTCACTCAGAAGGGACATCTCAAGACCCACAAACTTATCCACACAGGTGAGAAAAAATTTGAGTGTGAAAAATGTGGGAGACATTTCACTCAGAAGAACAACCTCAACACCCATAGACTTATCCACTCCGATGAAAAGAAATTTGAGTGTGAAAAGTGCGGTCGAAGATTTATTAGGAAAAGTCACCTTAGTACTCATAAGCTTATTCACACTGGAGAAAAGAAGTTTAAGTGTGAAGAGTGTGAGAAACTGTTTACTCACAAGAGCAGTCTTATTACTCATAACCTTATTCATACAGGAGAGAAAAGGTTTAAATGTGAGGAGTGTGGAAAAAGGTTCATTAAGAAAAGTGATCTGAACACCCACACTCTTATTCACACTGGTGAGAAGAAATACCAGTGTGAGGAGTGTGGGCAAGTGTTTACTCATAAGACCAGCCTCATCACTCATATTCTGGTTCACACTGGAGAAAAAAAATTTAAATGCGTAGAATGTGGTATGCAATTTTCTCGAAAGAGCCACCTCAAGACCCACAGTCTGACCCATACTGGCGAGAAAAAGTTTAAATGTGAACTATGTGCGAAAAGATTTGCGAGAAAGAGCCACTTGGACGTTCACAAGTTGGTTCACACGGGCAAGAAAAAATTTGAATGTGAATTGTGTGGTAAATTTTTCACTCAGAGGAGCAGCGTCAACACACACAGACTCCTCCATACTGGGGAGAAGAAGTATGAGTGTGAGGAGTGTGGCAAACTGTTCACCCAGAAGTTTAACCTCAGTGTTCATAAACTAACTCACTCTGATGAAAAGTTGGAATGTGAGGAATGTGGGAAGAAGTTTATCAAGAAGATTGACCTAAACATCCATAAACTGATTCACAAAGGTAATATATCTCTGGAGATGAAAGAAGAATTGGATTTAAGAATTTCCAATAAGCCCACAGAATTATCTTCATCAAGTGAGATAGATATACAGTAGCTAAGGTCAACTGAAGGAAGTAAGTCCAGGTAGCAAAAAATTCAATTTATTTATGACATCAATCATAGAACTGACCAAGGAAATTTCACAAACATGTAATAATAATCTTTGTCTGTCTGTATATTATCTTTACATTCTTAATTATTTTGTGTGTGGATCAAGGGGTGCAGAGACCTTAAGAAAAAATCAGAAATGATATTGAAATGTAGTGGATGACAAAGTAACAGTAAAGGACTAAATTACTGTAACATAAACATCCACCTGTTAGATGCTGACCAAAATGATTTGATATATTCTCCAGTGCATCACCATATGTAGGTGTGCTGGCTTCCTCTGTGAGTAACAATATTCATATATACTGTACACTGATACCTGTGGTCGGCTGAACAAACCATTCCTGAAACTAGTGAACTAACAATGGTGGTAAAACCCTGAATCACATTGCTCCCATGGGTAAATGATACTCTTTTGGGGGAGAGGGGAAGGGGGGGGGGGTTACAACTTAGTACAGTACTGTATCTAGTAATTGATGATAAGTGTTCACAGCCAGGAGCAAAATAGATTCACCCTTCACTCACTGTCATTTGTTCTCTGTTGTAACACAAATATTTGACTAGTGTTCACCCTCTACAACAACAACCCAAGATATCCACACAATCACTTCCCCTCTTGTCAGCTTACTAACCATTCATTTGCTTGGTCTGTTTTCTGTTAATTTAGTTATGACCACAGTGTTAGTACATGAGGAAACTGTAGTACTGTACCTAGAGAAAACCTGCCATGTTTGGTCATGTCACACTGGATAATACCCTTCTCACACGTGTCCTGGAGAGATAAGCAGATTACCACTGTACCACCGTCACCCTATTGTAGTTATACTGTACTAAGCTTTAGGTCTGATGGAAGAGAGAGAGAGAGGAGCTTGATGGTCTGGTGTCTTACAGTTTATAGAGTGATGAGGATACTGTAGTGAAGTACTGTACACAAGTCATGTACTGTACCCTGTGATTCATATGCTCTAAAGCTGCAACTGATGAACTATGAGAATAAACTGGGTGAAAAAGCTAAAGTGTTTTCCAACCTGTTTTAAATTTGTTTTTGAGAGGTGTTTGTTGTACACAGTCAATATAAACTTGTTCCTTCTTCAGTATACAGTACTGTATGTCAGTTACCCTGTATAACTTCTCCATAATATAGCCCTAATGCCCCTAAAATTAACCATACAGTATTAAACCATCCTCACTGTTGACTCTCCCCATCCTGGCCTTGTCACACACCTTAATAATAAATGTGTATTTTTTGTGGGAACTTTTACATACAGGTATATAAAATGCTAATGACATTTTTATTGACCATTTATCATTAAAGATCTACAGTGCAGTAATCCCGTGTTTTTGCGGGAATTTCGTTCCTGAAACCCCCGCGAAAAGCCAAAACCGCAAATAGTCTTTCAGGAATCACTGTACCTGTGGCCACCAAACAGCTCAGGTAGGTCATGCACTCACGGCCCAGAGGTCACACTGATCACTGATGCACTGTACCGGCATTTACTAACATCATTATTTGAAACTAATCATTTTGTAGTATAATAATGGAAAAACGTAAACACAGTTATATACAAAAAAAAATTATTTACAAGCAAATAAAAAAATTATATTTCGCTGAGGTCGGCAACACCCGCATTGCCAGCCTCTCCATGCTGTCCCGGCGTCTGCCCGCCCTCACCCCAGCCAGCCAGTCCTCTTCCACCCACATTCCTTTACTTGAAGACTTGTATTCTGACAAAAGACACAAATGAATTGTCAGTCTTCACCACAACTCGAGCCATAGCTCATACCACCTCTGAGCTTGTCCAATAAAACTGTTTTTTTTTTCCGTTAAGGTCATCACTATTCTTGATCTCTTGGAATGCACGTGGGAGGACAAACAGAAGAGGTAATCACAGTAGCATTCTCAGTACGGTAGGCACGTGTGGACTGAGGCTTCTCAGAGCAGCGGGCGTCTCTTTGCCGCACCGCACGGGAATATCGAAAGTGGGGCAAAATTTTAAATTTTGTTTAAAAAGGATATATATATATATATATATATATATATATATATATATATATATATATATATATATATATATATATATATATATATATATATATATATATATATATATATATATATATATATACACACAGTCGGCCCTTAACATACGCGGGTTTAGCATACACAGATTTGCAAATACGCGGATTGCCCCGCCGGAGGAATATTCTGTACATTGAAGTAATTGAAGTACATTCAATATTTAGCGCGCAAATACGCGGATTGCCCCGCCGGAGGAATATTCTGTACATTGAAGTAATTGAAGTACATTCAAATCGCGCGCGCGCGCACACCGAACACAGGACACCGCCCTCCCGCAACCTCACACACACACGCATAGCTCTCCCTCACTCAGTCAGTCTCGCTGTAACCACACTTGTGTTGACATCAGCATTGTAGTTGCAAAAATATTACATTTCCGTGAATGTATTATATCAAGCACAGTATGAATAGAATATCACTAATATAGGAGTATTTTAACCGAAAACTACTAAAAAAACGAGTAACATATCTTGAACATCGGAAGGTTAGGTAAAGTCTTTTGTTTTCATGTAGTTTATCCTAATTTACATTGAAATGCATTACGTTTCAGCAAAACTACTATTTATTTCTGAGAATATGGAAATGTAATATTTTTGACGTACGTATTACAGTGGAAAGTGACGAAAGCAATGACTTTCGCTTTCTTTCGTTCAAAAGATGTTACCATAATCGCTTTTCGAATGGTTTTCAGTTAAAAAACTGTTGTATTACAATAATATTCTATCCTAATTCACTTGTGATGCAACAGTTTTTTTAACTGAAAACCATTTGAAAAGCGATTATGGTAACATCTTTTGAACGAAAGAAAGCGAAAGTCATTGCTTTTGTCACGATTTTATCCCACTTTCCACTGTAATACGTATTTCATTTCAGCAAAAATAGTACATTTCCGTGAATGTAGTATATCAAGCACAGTATGAATAGAATATCATTGTAATATATCAGTATTTTAACCGAAAACTACTAAAAAAAACGAGTAACATATCTTGAACATCGGAAGGTTAGGTAAAGTCTTTTGTTTTCGTCATGTATTTTATCCTATTTTACATTGAAATACATCACGTTTCAGCAAAACTACTACCGTATATCTCGGCTTATAAGACGGAATTTGAACATTTAAAAAATCTGCCCAAATCATTTTCCTTAACATACACAATTATTTTCCTTCCAACAATAATATTATCATAACTTGGATGCGGATTTCTTCTTTAAACATTAAATAAGTTTGTAATATTAGCAAACAAGCTTAATTTACTTAACATAAGCTAGATACAACTCTCATTTAGCTTTTGCATATATTAGTCCGTAAATATAAAAAAAAAACGAGTGGAGATGCCAGCCAGTACATTACGGGTGTATTAATTGTTTTTATAGCTCTTTTTGCATTTTAATATTAAATACTGTACATTACGTTTCAACAAAACTATTATTTATTTCTGAGAATATGGAAATGTAATATTTTTGCTGAAATGACGTACGTATTACAGTGGAAATTGGGATAAAATTGTGACGAAAGCAATGACTCGCTTTCTTTCATTCAAAAGATGTTACCGTAATCGCTTTTTGAATGGTTTTCAGTTGTGGGATTATGAGGCTAATGATAGGATAGAATATTATTGTAATACAGTACGGTACAACAGTATTTTAACTGAAAACCATTCGAAAAGCGATTACGGTAAAATCTTTTGAACAACGAAAGAAAGCGAAAGTCATTGTTTTCATCATGATTTTATCCCACTTTCCACTGTAATATGTACGTCATTTCAGCCAAAATATTACATTTCCATATTTATTTCTGAGAATATATTCATTCAGTCACATTTAAAGTAAAATATACTTCTGATGTAATATTTTAATGAATATACTGTATCGTAGTTTTCTTTTGTTTCAAATTTAATTAACAAAGATTGATGCTTCAAATGTAATGAACAAAAATTTATGTACAGTATCTATAAATAAACTTTAATAAATGAATACTTTGTTTTACATCGTCCTGTGCTACCATACCATGGATTTGGCTACTTTGGGCTCGCTATGATGACGCAAGAGATCTGCCCTGGCAACTGTACCGACACTCACAGCTGGTGGTGCGTTGGTGCGTCGTTTCCATTGTTTACTGGTCGTTACTGGTAAATATTTTTCAACCTAACGAAACTATTACCCGTTTAGAGGTCGACCCCCAATTGTTTCAATGGGATTTTGGGTAATTGGTTCCTCCATTGAGCAGGGACACACACTGACGCCATTTGGGGTGAGTCAAGTGGCTGTTTGGCGCGCTAAAAACTAGTTCCCTGTACTTCAATTATGTTAAATAATTGTTAAAATGACTAAAAACTTTAATATAAGACTTGGAAAATTATTGAAAAGTACAACCTTCTTGATATTGATATTGAGTAAATAATTATTATTTACCGGTACTCAAATGGTAACGAATTTAAGCCCTAAAACCGATTACTGTATTGGCGGACTAATACAACAGCTGGTGAGCAGGCAAAAGCAGGCGAAAACATGTTGGGAAAATTCGTAAGGAATTCGTTAACCGAAATTTTTTCGTTAACCGAAGTGAAGAATCTTATGGAAGGTAATTCGTTAACCAAAATTTTGTTAACCGAGGGATCACTATATATATACACAGTTGTACCCCACTTAACGCAGTCAATAGAACCCAGAGGGTCCCGCGTTAAGTGAACAACAGAACATATGGGATTAATTCCAATAGAAACCGGCCCGACCCCCAAACTCCACTTATTGAAGACACATAACTATGTTGTAGTAAAAACAACATCTTAATTTTATGATGGTACATGCACACAATTAATACTTAAGAGAAATAGAGAAATACAGTCGCCAAGTTAATGTCCATTCAAATAATGGACTCAACTCCCTCCCTCTCTTCTCACACTACACTGCTGGCTCTTCCCTCTCTGAGAAATTTTTGGGGGAAAACCACTAAATTTTAATAAATAATACCTCAAACTAAAGTTAGGATAATACAATTGACATTGCTGGATTCCTTGTAAGACCAGGAATATTTTGAATATAAATGTCATATATTTTGCACAAAAGATAACATATTTACTCAGAGAAAACATTTTATCTAAAATTTGTATGTCTAATGCAAAATATATGATGTTTATATTCAAAATGATCACCAAATTATAAGAATTCCAGCAATGTAAATTATATTCTGGCCGGGTAATTTGTATGAATTTTATGAGCTAAAACAGGCAGTCAGGCAGGGTGGCAGGTGGGGCAAATCTAAAAATAGCGTCTCGAGCCGGACACTCACTGCGTATATGTGGAAAAAATCCGTGTTAAGTGAAAGTTCAGCTCTGGCGAGGCACCGCGTATATGAAAAAACGCGTTAAGTGAAACCGCGTTAGGCGGGGTAATACTGTATATGTATATTCATGTAGAGATTTGCTGAAAAGATCATGATATCAGATATATATATATATATATATATATATATATATATATATATATATATATATATATATATATATATATATATATATATATATATATATATATATATATATATATATACAGTGGGGTATGCTATAACGAACGTAATTGGTTCCAGAACCTCGTTCGTTATAGCATTCGTTCGTTATAGGATTAATCCGTTCCAGGCCCCCAAATACAACGACCAGGCCCCCAAATACAACCACTTAACACTGAAAAAATTCTGTGGAAAATGTAAAAAATACGGTACTTTATCTTACCTTAGTGTTATTCAGCATGCAGGTACCCCTAAACACTGGCACATCACTATCACTTCCACTGGGAGTCTTGGCTTTAAGGTCCTCAAACAATTGTTTAGCCTTCTCACAAATTATAGCTTCACTAATGTTACCACCTGCCATTTCTTTCTCCTTTATCCACACTAAGAGTAAATTTTCCATCTCTTCAATCACATTACACCTTGC